CCATTTCACTAACTGGCGTTACTTTCAGCGTGCTCAAGTCCATTGATTCTGCATAAACAAAGAATGAATATTTCATCAGAACCTAAACCTTTGGACCCCACAAACTTAGGAGTACTTGCAATCGCTACAACAGAACAGACTACACTTAGAAATTTGATGACATTACATTTGCAAAAGTAGCCTACATTGAACAATGGCATTAAATAAACATTATTTTAGCTGGAATCTTTCATTCAAATAATCATCAAGATGAATCAGTTCTGCGAAAACTATTCCACTTATCTCCGTTTTATTTCTACGCTTACGGTCAGGAAGAACTTTGCTGTTTTAATTTATAGGAAGCAGTCAACAGGTCTTAATACAGAGAATTCAAAAGGGCAAACTCTCAACATCAAATGCATTCCTATTTTCTTACCTCTCGTTCGCTTTCCTTTGCGCATGATGCAACATCACTTTTTCCTTTTTACCTAATTGACCTGCCATACTTTCAGACAGGCGAAATTCTATAGTGGCGTTTCCGCTCAAAAATTAGTCTTGCCAAGAATTAGCCGACGATAAAATCACAGGACATTTCGGCTCTGCTCCTCGTTCCTTCCGGTGAAAGTGAAAGTTCACGTTTTGTAAAAAGCGAACGGCAAAACATAATGCGCCTTACAGGTCAGAAGCTGAATTTATCACTAAGCTAATCGCTTCGAGTGTGTTGGATGTGGCCTGAGTTGTCATGACACATTTTTATAAATTAAGACATCTTACTTCGACCTATTTTTTGGGCATTTGTCGTGCTTTAACTCGATTTATTGTATAAACGGAAATAGCGTGAAGTCAAAATTATTTTATTGCCAAGTGCATCTATCACTTGTGTCGTGCCAGAAAATTCGTCTCTAGGAATAGCCAACGATGTAGCTTATGTGTGGAATACTTCTACTTTCCTCATGCAACTTATTTTCCCGGAAGTGGGGTCTGCCTGGCCAAAATCTTGACCATAATGCAAATCTCTCAACCCCTACAATTGACATTCTGACTGCCATTGCAAACGCTAATATTTATGGGTCAAATACCCACAATTTATGCGATCCTGGACAAATTTTTAGGGCAACTAAATGCCCGGGAACCGCATCATTTAAGCGAGGCTTTGACCTCCAAACTCATTGGGTGTGCGAATAGAACAAAGATTGAATATATTTACAGCCTGAATGTGTAATTGTATTAAAATTTAGTAAATTAAACAGCTTTTTTTCACCTGTCCCAACTTTTCGTTCGACGGTCAGCCAGCGGTACCAATCCAAGTTTTTTGCTAAAGCCAAACAAATAAAACGTTGGAATTTTCAACGTTTGGGGTTATGTATCTCTGAATAATAAAATTCAGATATAAAAACAAATTTTAAACCACGCAACCTTCGTGGACATTTTTATTGTGAGTTCTTGGTTTCCAAGGCAGTATATCTTTGATATTTCACAACTTTTAAAGCGATTTTTAATGTAAGTCTATGGTTAATGTTGCAATAAATTGTCTTTAAGTCTGCAAGGATTATTTTGTCAGTAGAAATAAATAAAATACTAAGGGTTTTAAACTTGCTTCTGATTTTTATGAAATGTTTCACTGATAGACACTCTTCTTTCAATCTGCCTCCAGGCAACGAAGAAATTATCATCTGCTCTCTGATGCAGTTCGTTGTGTGACTGAAGCGCATAGGATTGTGTATTGCAAACAAAGTGATGCCCACCCACAAAAATGCCATCAGGAGAATGCGGATAAGGCGATGGCCTGTAATACCTATCTGTCTAACAGTTCTTATGACTTTCCCCAATATACGTTGGCGTTTTTATTGAGTTGTTTCACCATCGCTTAAGTTAAAAACCGTTGTGCCGCATTAATTCTATGTAATTTGACCACTGCTGACACAGATTTTCGTCAGGTAGAATGGCGTGTTATCTGAGCGTGATGCATCCGCCTTTCGGTGACTCCTCATCCCAAATACTTTGCAAAAAAATGCGTGGCAGAAGGCTTTAGCACCTCAGAAATTAAGTAAGTTCCGATTCGTAAAGCAGAAAACTGGAAATAGCTATAAAACCCAAGTGGCATTTTATGATAAGAGTTCCAAATGAAGGGACAGAAGTGAAGGACACGATTGATGTAATGGATGTAAACGAAGACAATTTGTCCGTATCCTCGGGTCGCATCGAATAATTGCACATAACATTAACAGACATCGCAAAGACTTTTAGAATTAGTATATTTCGCAACATATGACTCCGTTAACATCGTAGACATTAATAAAATTGGAGGCTTGGTGATTGCCACGTTTGTTTATTTTGATATTATGGTGTTTGCGGTGCCCCGAGTCTTTCCTAAAGACGGAACAAGGACACGACACTGGGACAGAATATGTATTGCCGACGCTACTGACCTGGCCCAGAGACTGTCGCCCAGCGGAAGTTCAATCACGGGGCTTTGAACGCCCACCAAACCAAAACGAAAAGTTTAGCAAATACTCAAAGCATTGCAGTGGTTTTTGCAGATTAACCATTCAGTTTCAGCATCTTTTTCACCTTGAGTTTACAGATAAAAAACGGTTTTACATATAAGCACGATTGTCAAATAACTCTTAATTAATTACTGCTAGTTGCTGGTTTGAACAATGTATTTATTCATCCCTTTACTGCATGAAAAGTAATTAATTAGAGGCTGGATCGCTATCACTCATTGAGGTCATCCAAATTTCTTAATTATAGGGCCCAAAAAGGCTTGTGGGTGATTCTATCCTGTTTCTACCTCTTCCAAACCATGTAATTTGATAAAACGAAGGAACTCCAAAATTAGGAGAACCAAAGTTCACTTTATTTTTAACCCAAAACTGCAAAGAGTTCGCATGCGATAAGTGCTTTTTACGATTTACATAAACATCCTTTTGAAAATTTAACGTAATTTCTAGGGTTGCTTATTTAACATTTATAATGTACTTTCCATAAAGGCCATATAGTGGTAACGTATTCCGCTCCATTATAACCAACTCTTGGCTAGTTTAATGGCTAGCAACGCTTACTTGGAGCATAACATTTTATGTTTCTTTCGGCAAAAACGACTTATGGATCATTGCTTGGGAGTCACCGCGAGTGTGAGCTGTGCGAAACTTATACGAAAGTATAAAATATTTCTTATGGCGATTCGCA